TTTCTTTAAATCTTGTTACTTTCCAAATTCTGCAGGTTTGATGCTCTGTTTTTGCTTTGATTTCGGATGAAATTCGATCCTAAAATGGAAAAACAAATCCAAGGAAGTGAAGTTTCTTTGTATGATTTTAGTTGATTACCGGAACCTTCTGCAAATTAGGAAACTTTTTCTACTAACTAAATTTTGCTTAAATGCTTCATTTTCCAGAAAAATTCCATTTTCCGCTATTTATTAGTATTTTTCTTTTGAAGAAATTGCTGAAATGATGTCTAAGTGAAATTTTTGTAAATAAAATACATTTCCCATGATTGAGTATGGTTTTGTAATATAATCAGATACTTTTCTTTTTAAGAAAATAAAATTCTGCAATTTTATATATTGATTTAGTTAATAATAATGTGTGCAGTACAGATCTGCAGGTGGGTACTTCCCTAGCTTCTTCCAGGAGACGCTCTGACTGTAACTGTACTACTTGATCTTCTAAGAGAGAAAGTGGGGTAGGTCTGATTAAGGAAGATGACAGTCAGAACTCCTGGAACTCCAGCTACAAAGATAGATAGGACGCCTGTATCGACCCCAGGAGGGTCAAAAGCTAAGGAAGAGAAGATTGTTGTTACTGTTAGATTAAGACCTCTAAGTAAAAGGGAGCAGCTTGCCAAAGATCAAGTGGCATGGGAATGTGTGGATGATCACATGATTGTGTATAAACCCCCACCTCAAGACCGTTCAGCTCAACCGGCTTCTTTTACATTTGGTAATATAATGGCCTATATTATTTCACCTCTTGTGTTTATTATTGATTTATAGCTGTGTGGTCTTGATGTTGTTTAGTTTTTTTTTATTTCTCAGATAAAGTTTTTGGTCCGGCCTGTTTAACTGAAACTGTGTATGAGGAAGGAGTGAAGAATGTTGCTTTGTCAGCTTTGATGGGCATAAATGGTAGTAGACATACTTTGTCTTTAATTGTCTGTTTAGTACCTTGGAGGGCTGTGTTTAGTAACTGATTAAGTCATGTATCTTGTGTCACAGCAACCATATTTGCATATGGGCAAACTAGCAGTGGGAAGACATACACAATGAGAGGAGAGACAGACAAAGCTGTTAATGACATCTACAATCATATAATGAATGTAAGCTACAATTCAATAAATATGATTGTAATTCCTGCATAGTAATGAGGGTTTGCAGAGTGCAGTCGACCCTTTAGCTGTGGAATCTCCAAAAACCTTTCTTTTCCTTTCTGGAGCGACACTCGACCTCAGTACTGTGGGCACGAGGGTTTCAAACTCAAATGCAATGGAGATGGTTCGCACCCTGTTATAGTCATCAATGAGCGTGAGTTTCAAATCCTTAGAATCAATCAATCAACCCAATCCCAGATGAAGACCCTTTCTCGGATGGACTCCGGCAAAGATTCTTGTCCTACGGGCTTGAATTGCTATCTCTTTAGGGCTGCTAAAACAGTTGTGAATGTGACTCTGCTTCGCTACTGCCCTGAGTCTGACCCTTCATGGGAAAGGATAGAAGCTTCTCATAAAATTCAGTGCACTGTTGATGGTGAACCGATCTACTTATTAGTCTTGAGGGATAACGAGACCCATCTTGTGGATTGTCGAGATAAAGTGGAAGTTCCGGTTCCAAAGGAGGCTCTTAGTCAACTCATTTCAGGAACTATGAGTTTGCGTAAAGCCTTGATGACTGAGTTTAACGTACAGTATTGTATACGATGAGTACTGTTTGAAATGCCAGGGCTCTGGTGGAAGATGTGCATCCGGCCAGACTTCTTCACTGTCATTTGCTTGCTATGGTCGTTACGGACCTTATGATATAACATCCGGTACCGCACATTTAATCTTCCTTTCAACTAGTGTTCTTATTTTATACAGATTATTAGTTAATAATAGTTATTAGTCCACCGAAAATTGAAAAAATATACCTTAGACTGGTCTACTTTGCTTTGTTTCTTTGCATTTTTCACATGGAGCTGGTTAGTTTTTTCCCCAAGGAGGTGAGGTCTACGGGGGATTTGTGTCAAAGGTAGAAATCTCAGGTTAAATTAGCAGTTTTACTGTATTTTCATTTACTTTTTTAAGAAACATCTTCAGTAGTCCTCTTCTGTTCTTCATTTTTCCCTCTGTGTGACCACTAGCTCATGCCAAGTTTCTAGCTCTTCAATGATTCATTGCTTTGACATTTAGTTCATTGGTGGGTCTGCTTTTGATGTAGAACTCATGCCTGCTTTCAACATGTCAATGGTCTTGAGCCCTCATGGACTGGATTTTTCCAGCCAACCTTATGTCAATTTCTGTCTTTTCC